AGAGCCGGCAGTTGAACAGCCTCAAGGTCCTTCTAGTGAACTCTTCTAGAAACAGGTTGGACTACAGCTCCCATCCTCCCGGGATTGGGAGTCCTAGCCCAACACACGTTAGGGGCAGGGGTGAAATCCAGCAGGTTCTGACAGATTCTGGAGAACCGGTAGTGGGAATTTTGAGCAGTTCGGAGAACCAGTAGCGGCAAATGCCACCTCTGGCTGGCCCCAGAGTGGGGTGGGAATGGAGATTTTGCAATATCCTTCCCCTGCTATGGCCACCAAGCCACAGAACCGGTAGTAAAAAAATTTGGATTTCACCACTGGTTAGGGAACAGATTAAAGCCATTTAAAAGGTAGTATCTGTACTGACAGAGGACAATATTTGTAGCTAAGGGTTGAAATGAGGGGCCCTTGGTGCTTTCTGAGCTTGGGGGTTTTCATATAGAGGGTTCATTACCCAACTAGAATTCTTTATTGGCCAAGTGTGATTGGACACACAAGGAATTTGTCTTGGTGCAGAGGTAGCATCATCAGTGCTAGAAGGGGAGAGGAGGAGGAGGAGGAGGAGGACTGTGGGATCTTTGGTGCTCTTTGAGATTGGTAGTTTTCTTGCAGAAGTTTCATTACCCAACTGAAACATCTGCAAGAAAACAACCAAGCTCAGATAACATCTGTGTCCTCCTGGACACTCCATGAAGTCCTGGAGGCCACAAGGGGTTCACCAGTGCCTGTTTCTGGGATGATTGTTCAGTTACATCAACCAAGAAGTCCCCCATCAATGTCCTACCTAGATCAACCTCCACGGAGCTCTTGAGGATCCGCCAAGGCCACTGCTACTTTGCCTCCTACTGCCCATTTCTGGGTGCAGGAGGCAGGCCACTGGCATGTAGCTGAGCAGAATTTGAACCCAGAGCTAAGACTTAGCCAAACCGGGTAGCATTCTGAGAGCTGGAATTGAGTGGGTGCCAAGCTGCTTTCTTAAGGGCCAAATGAAAAGATTGGCATCAACCAACGGGCGCTACCTGAGCCCCGGACACCCAGTAACGCCCTCTTGGCACTGGCCAGGGAGGCCGCAAAGCTACCCCGAGGTTAATGGTTAATGGGCTGCCAGCAAACCCGTCCCCATTTGATGGATTACTTTTGCCCTTGGGTGGCTGTGGGGTTGAGGGGAGAGGCCTGGCTGTTTCACTCAGAAGGGGGAAGAGGCGATTGGGCGGCCCTCTATCTTGAGCACACAAGCCGTGTTTGCCAGGAGGGATTACCTGAGGGCTATTTCACTCTCCCCCCTTCAGATCTATGCAGGGAGGGCTGCAGAAGAGCTCTTAAAGGGACAGGTGTGAACTAGGAGCTTTCCAGGGAAGGGGCCTCTCTCCTCTGGTTAGGAGTTCCTGCAAGCTGTGCAAAGCTAAAGCCTCAAAAAGCTGAATAGCAGAGCTAGAAAGGATCTTGGAAGTCATCTAGTCCAACCCCCTGCCCAAGCAGGAGACCTTACTCCATTGCAGACAAATGCCTGTTCAATCTTTTCTTGAAAACCTCCCGCAACTTCTTAGAGGAAAGCCCTTCCACTAATTGTTCTCACTGTCCGAAAATTTATCCTTAGTTCGAGGACCTGCCTCATAGGCATTTTTTTCTCCCCAAAAGTACCAAACTGGAGCTTTTTCATATTTTTTCCAGGTTGCAGAGAGTCGGGGAGGGGGCAAAACGGGGTCCATTTCAGTGGCTAAGAAGGGAAACAGCTTAAGCCAGGCTCTTTTCTGAGCTGTAGGATCAGGACTCTCTTTTTTCTCATCTCTTGTATGGTTCTGGATTTTTGTTTTTTAATCACAAAGCTTTGTTCCTTTGCAAAAAAAAAAAAAAAAGTGGGGGGAGATTGGTTTGAAAAAGCAAAAACTCCCAGGAGGGGCTCAGAGATCTTTTTTTTTTTAAGTGACTATAATTGGTGGCCATTTTTTCCATTAGAAATCGGATCCTAATGTCTTAATACAGTATTTCTCAACCTTGGCACTTTGAAGATGTCAGCTATGGAATTCTGGGAGCTGAAGTCCACACATCTTCAAGGTGCCAAGGTTGAGAAACACTACCTTAAAATGTTTTACAAAGCAGGATTTTTCTATGGTAGCCTGATGTTTTGGAATCTCTCCCCCCCCCAAGGCTTGCCAGCACCTCTAGGGGTCAAAAAAAGCATGATGATGCCCCCAAACGTCTCTTTCTTACGTGTTGACCATCATCTTGACTTTTGACCACAATCTCCAGACTCTCAGAACCCCTTATGACTGACATTTTAGAATCGAGGGTGTAATTTTTACTCTATTGGAGTGCTACTTCACTGTATTTATCTTAGAGGACGTTTGTATATTCTAATGCTCCAGCTGGTGATAGGGCAACTTAAAAGTACTAATAAATAAACAAAGCATATATAAATAATTGAATTCTTGGAAAAAGTCACAGCTGGTTCCCAGGAATCTAATCAGACAGCCCAGAGAATCCTAACCTTAAAACTGATATTTTAATAGTCCCAATAAAAAGGAAAGGAAAAATACCAGATTTTGTATTTTGCACTACCAGGACTGGGAAATTCACTCCCAGCATCCCTACTTAAGGATCAGATAGTTTCTTGGTTTTAACAATTCCTGTCCCATGATACAATGCTCTGAATCAAACCCCTGTGAGTAATACTTTTGGCCAGCATAGGATACGCAGGGGGAATCTAGACTGGAGGAGGGGGGGCAGGAGAAATTGCAGGACTAACCCATTGCAAAAAAATGTGAGCAGTGATTCAAATGTGTGACAGAAAGAAAACTGGGAAAATTAATTAAATAAAGGAGACAGCCATATGTCTGGAATCAAATGTACTTCATTGTGCTAGGACAGCTTAAAACCATCTTGGCTTGACTTGACTATGGTTACTTCTATAGTTGACTATGGTTGAAGGTGACTAACAAGCAAATATCAGAGTGTGTAACACCAGGCATATCACTAAAAGGCAAAATCACAAAACAGCGTCTCACTTACTTTGGCCATGTCATGCGGGGAAATTTGCTGGAAAAACAATTATTGAAATTTGGAAGACTTAGTGGTAAAAGGAAACCAGGCTGTCAAAAAACATTTTGGCTGGACTCTTATCAAAGCTGACACCGACCAGAGCACAGAACAACTCAAAGAAGTAGTGCAAGATTGGAAGATATGGAGAGACCTGGCCCATAGAATTGCCAAGACTCGGACGCAACTGAATTGGATAAGATTATCATCATGGTTGATTTCATCAGCCACTGCTGAGTAGCTTCACACAGCCTGGTAAAAGCCAAGCCATGATCTACAGAACACAAGGGCTGGATTTGCACAGGTTAAGGCACACGTGCACAAACACCACTTCTTAGAGGCTTTGTGCCCCTGGCTGTTGATTCCACCAGTTGGCAAAAATTTGATCATTTCTGCATGACAGCCATCCTTTGCCTTCTGCAGGACACTTACAAGTAAGTCAAAGTCAATGCTAGCCAAGGAGAGGACAGATCAGACATTGTGTTTTATCTCTTTCCCCATGGCTCGCTGGGGAATTCTGGGAGTTGAAGTCCACAAGTTGCCAAGGTTGGACACCCCTGGTATAAACACTTCAAGGGCTGTTTCCCATTTGCTTTTCAAACTTCCAGAGGACCTTGAATTGGGGGGAAGGCCCACTTTGATGAAGACTCTTGATGGAGTTAATGCTAAAATACGTTTACCTGTTCCTCACCTACTTTGGCCCCCGGGGCAACTGGTTGAAGGAGACAAAACGGATGTCAATTCAGGTTCAAAGGGATGATACCCTATTTTCATGTTTGGGGAAAAAAAGCCCAGCAAATTTGCATCTCGGCCTTTCAGTCCACATTTCGGAGCCAGTTTGTTTGTTTGTTTTCAAACACTTGGCAGGGTAGCTTAGCTGCAAAAGAAGGACTGGCTCAACCTTTTCCCCACATTTAGTTCGCATTTTTGATATCCACTTCGGAAAAGAGGGTTATTCTCCCGGATGTGTGACACGTAGTCTGAAACAAAAACTGGTTGGAGCCGTGGGCGAAACACACTATGCAAAACACACCACCTAGATACCAAGGCCCATTAAACTTTCTAGAACCGATCCCCAAGTCAAACGGGTATTGGAATCGTCCTGATTCATCACCTTTGGGGTTCCCTTCAACAACCCTCCTGCTGCCTTTTCAAAGCATATGGAAGATGGGCTGGAAAAGGTTAAGCGACAGCTAGGCGACATGTTATCTACAGGGTGGGTCCCCTCCAGCTCCGCCACTGCCACCAGCACCGTCTGTTTCCTTATCTCTTGGCGTCCTTGGCCCACACCTGTCACCGTGGGGCTGCCCAGTTGATGATTAACCAGGACTTCCTGTTTGCTGCTGAAAAATGGCAGAAGGGCCTGGTTTGCTAGTGCAGGGGGAGATGATCAAGACAGAGGCACTGGAGAAAGAGAGGAGGGAATGTGATCTTGCAAGCCTGTTAAGCATCCTTAGAGCTGAAAGTTACATGGGTCTATCTCAGGAGTTGCACAAGCCTAGGAAAAAAGATGACGCAGGTGATTTTTGCACCAAAAGACTGGGTAGACATCATATTTTCATCCTTTTTATACAGGTGGTCCTCGACTTATGACCTCAATGGAGTCCAACCTTTCTGTTGCTAAGCGAGGACACTTAGCAGCAGTTAAGTTAATTTTGCCCCATGTTATGACCTTTCTTACCACAGTTGTTAAGTGCATCACTGCAGTTGTTAAGTTAGTAACACGGTTGTTAAATGAATCTGGGTTCTCCGTTGACTTCACTTGACCCCAGGATCACCTGACCTCAGGACACAGCAACTGTCAGAAATAGATGCCGGTTGCCAAGCATCCAAATTTTGATCAGAACAACAAGGATGCTACAACAGTCGTAAGTGTGAAAAATGGTCATGTCCCTTTTTTCAGTGGCGTTGTAAGTTCGAACAATCAGTAAACAAACGGTTGTAAGTCAAGAACTACATGTATAATGTTAAGTTACAAATAGGTGTTTTTATATGACACTGATTTATAGTTTTTTCCGTAGTACACTGCCCAGAATCACCTTTTGAGAGACAGGCAGCTACATAAATATGATAGATAAATAAGACGACTATGATGAACTATTGCAGCAAGGAAACCATCCTTCTTCCACTTCTGCAGTTTTGGGATATTGGATCTTATATTTACAAAGGCAGGTTCTAAAGTAGTGAGATGGACAATCAATGCAAGATAACTCCATGTCATCACCAGCATGTGACTAGGATGGAAGAGAATCGGGTTCAAGTTCCTCATTCAAAGCGGGTGATCAATCATAGTCTCTCAGCCTACTTACCTCACGAGATGAGCACGGGATGTTGTGTCTTGACCTGCCAAGAGAAAAGATGAGATGCAAATATAAGAGTAAAGAAAAGAAATCAAACAGAAATATTTGCTTTTACACCTGGGAAGAGGGACACTGCCTGGATTTTCAGCAAGCCATAACAGTTTATTCTCTTCATGGATTTTGTTTGTAGAGCAGGATAGCCAAATTTGGTCACTTTAAGATTTATGGATTTCAACTCCCAGAATTCCCCCACCAGCATAGCTTAAAATGGCCAAACTTGGACACCCCTGGTGTAGACCCTACCATTGTGGTTTGTAAATAACAACCTGGGCTGATGTGAAGTCCACAAACTGTTTATTAAGAGAGTTTATTAGATTGATATGTGACCAGTTTATTTTCTTCTTGAGCAAAGCACAGTAGTTTCCCCAAAAGCACACTATCACTGCCTTGACATCCCAAGATACTTCTGGAGCCAAGTTGGCTCTTGACGCACCCTTATAAAATAAAAATGCTAACAGTTCAAGGCTTGGTTTGAAAAACCTGACACTTAACTAGAAGGAAGACAAAAGTAAGTTTGAGAAGATGGCAGATCTCAACCTCGCTATGTACTTTCTTGAAAGTGGGTCTTTGGTCTTCTGGGAAACAGAAGACCTTCCTTCCCCCTGCTACCATTTTGTTGGACTTTCAGAAGTCCCAAAATACCCACAGCAACAACAAACACAATAAAGGAAAGCATGTATCAGTCTTAAAATAATCAAAAGTCCAATCCAAGTGTGGTCATCCCAAAGGAACTTTACCAAAAGGCAAATGGGCTTGGTGTTTTTCTTTGAAAATGTTGTGATTCTCATTCAAGAAGCTTCTTCAGTTCTTCAGTCTTTTGGAAAAGCACCTTTGGGACAACCAACCTGGATGATTGAGAATCTCCATGGACAAAGTGTGGTCAGTTTGCAGCAGATACAAAGGACTTAAAAGACAAATGAGTAACCACGGAGTTGGGGGCTATAGGGGGTGCAAAGGAAATTGAATTTCACTCCAAAGGTTTCCCCAGTTAGCTTAGGAGCTGCTTTGGATTTTTGCTGGGATATGTTTATCTCTGCCCCCTCCTCATTCCTAAATGGGGAATGGTACTTTGGACCCTGCAACGAGACTTATTGTTCAATCCTGGTTTCTCTCCCATTGTCTGGGACGAATAAAGTAATTCCAACATGCAGCGTGGTAGAGTCCTTTGTTTGTTTCTGGTTGAGCATGTTGGAGGTAGCCAGCCAAGTGGAGATAATTCCCCATATGGTGGCTAAGTTCCCCACAGCTTGCATGTAACAAGATTCAGCTTTCTCAACCACTTTTATTGAGATGAAATTCTTGCACCCTGGCCAGGAGAGAAGGGTGCAAGGACTCTGGGTGGTGGCTCATGTAATTAAAAAATATTTAAACCAGATTGGATGGGCGCTGCCCTCACCGATTAATCGATAAGGCTCTAAGACAGGGATGTCCAATCTTGGCCACTTTAAGACTTGTGGACTTCTATTCCCAGAATTCTGAGAGTTGAAATCCACAAGTCTTAAAGTGGCCAAGGTTGGACACTCCTTGCTCTAAGACATATGAAAACAGAATTATAGCCTTTAAACACAACCTTGCTGCCCAGGAAACAGTACAGTTAGGATCTGGTGCTCATTCTTCACAAAGAAACTAGACTAGTTTTCCCACACATCACCAAACCTGGACCGTTCAAAAATATTGTTCACCCATGCTGGTTCACACATTAAGTGAAGAAGTTTTAATCATGCTTTGCTGAATCAGCTATAAAGCTGGATAGACACAACTGACATCTCAATAAGATTTGTGATACTAGGCGTTGTTTGTGGAAAACAATAATTTGTTTTCATCTGGGATCAGCACTGCAGAGGATTTGGTGATGCTCATGGTTTTGTCAAACAAAAGGCAACAAATGAATACAGAATAACGGAGTTGGAAGGGCCCTTGGAGGTCTTCTAGTCCAACCCCTTGCTCAGGCAGGACACCCTATACCATTCCAGACAAATGACTCTCCAGTCTCTTCTTAAAAACCTCCAGTGATGATAACTAATTAGGCTATAAGAACAATCAAACTGACTGATACTCTTTTCTTAACTAGGCTTTTATGGAACAAATGCCCAGTTCCCTTGACAATCAATCCAGGACTATAATTATATGTATATTTTTCTATTGGTTCAGCTTTTTCGGCTGAGCATCTTCAAAGGAAGTTATAGAATACTGCCTCAAAAGTTATCTAATGCCAAGATTATTCCAACATCAAATAAACCAATTAGAACTGTACTGTCTTCTAGAGGCACAGTTGGATCCAATGAGCTTCTGCACTAATTATTAACAACCCAGCCTCGCAGCACCCACAAGCGGTTTCTGAACTCTGCCGCAGAAACCTGGGATGAGTATCTAGCAATGGAGAACTGCCTCCCTCTAAAGGACCAAAAGGGGATTTTTCTTTGGAAAAACAAAAACAAGCCAAACCCGCTTTCCCAAATGTCCTGATCTACATTCAGGGCTGTGCAGAATGCTAAACATTTTCTTCCAGTTTTTAAGTTTTGCTTGTTTAGGTTACTTCTGGTATCACTTTCAATGGCTGGACCCAATGGACCGAAGCAGGACTAGGAGAGATTTGAGCAGATTTTTCCTTATTGTTTTTTAGTTTCCCTTTCCCCAGCCCCCCAATAAATCTTGCAACAATTGTAGACAGTTTTAGCCTCTAGGCCAGGCTTGCATAAGAGAGCCCCAGGGCTACATGCAGCCTGCCAGTAATGGAAATCCGCTGCTGCCAAACAGATTTGCTAGTGACACCCTGAAAGATATAGTGCCAAGCACCTGCAACACCTCTCCAAGAATGCCAGCACCCTCCCTGGCACTAAATGCCAGCACCCACTCTGGCATTGCTAAATGCCAGAGATCGTGATACTAACTATTTCTCAATTATTATTATTTGTATCTTGCCTTTTTACAAATAACTCAAGGCTGCATACATATGCAACACACCTTTCTCCTCCTGATTTCCCCACAACAACCCTGTGAGGTGGGTTGGGCTGAGAGAGAGAAGGACTGGCACAAAGTCACCCAGCTGGTTTTCATGCCTAAGGCAGGACTAGAACTCACCATCTCCTGGTGATTGGCCCAAAGTCCCCTAGTTGGTTTCAAGGCTAAATTGGAACTAGAACTCAGCATCTCCTGGTTTCTAGCCAGGTGCCTTAACCCCCAGGCCACAGTGGCTCATCAATGTGGCCCTTTCCCTTTTATGAGTTGTGCACACCTGCTCTGGACTTTGTCCTCTGATGAGGAAGGTGTCACTCAAGATGACAGCATGGCTATTTTTACCTGCTTATTTAGAATCTGGAATATGGTTTTTAGGACCCAGATAAAAAAACAACAATTAATGTTAAGTACAAAGTTCAAACAGCTAAATCATGGCTTGTGGTTGGGGATACAAATGGAAGGGCAGGATATTATTTTATTATTTTATTTATTTTTATTTCTTCTATTTGTTTTTATTTACTATATTTACTACAATTGCCGTGAGTAGACAGCTGTCTAATTTTTTCTAAATAAATATAGTTTTTTCCCCCTTTCCATTTTTTAAAATTCAAATATCGCAGTCTTTTTGCATTACCTTGCTTTCATTTATCTATTTGTCTTTGTTTCTATCCAGCCTTTATTACTTTTACTAATAACCCAAGGCAGCTATTTGTATTTTTATGTCTCTCTTTTCCTTTTGTATTTCAATTTCTCATGACAGTTGTGGGCAATACGTTTAAATGAGTTTCCTGTCCGACATATTCCTTTTTTTTTTTTTTTTTTTTTTTTTTGAGGTAAATTTTAGCTTATTCAAAGAATGGTTAAAATACAAAATGCCATAGTATTTTTTTAAAAAAGGACAAGCCTAATCCCGTCAGAAATATTTCCTGAGGAAAAATAATCCGGCTTCTGCTTCTCTTAATGAGAGCGCCGCAATTCCCCTCACATTTTCCCCGAACGTTATAAAATGGAGGCGCTTCCAGACTCCCCAGAATTCCCCGCGGCGACCCACGTCCCCTCGTGGGGAAACTACGCCTCCCAGAACCCTTTGCACGCGTGCGCCTCCTGGACTTGTTGGGGAGCGTGACGCCACTCGATCGTCAGAGCTGCTCTTACCCAGGGTGCCTTGCGACCCCCGCTTAGCTTCACCCTCCCTCCCTCTCTCCTCTTCCCCTTGAACGGAAAGGGAGAAGCGAGCCGGGCCCGCCTTTGGGAGGGCGGCCGAAGCAAACTACGCTACCCAAGAGGCGTTGCTCTTCGCGCATGCGCGGCGGCGCATCACTCAAGGCGAGGGGGATTTGCGCTTGCCGACAGGAGGGTCTTGAGTGAAAAATAAGTGAAAGGGGAGGGGGGGGGACAGAAAGCCAAGAAATTAGTTTTCGTTTACTGAGGCGAAGGAAAGGCGCTGCCCGGCTCTGCTGGTAAGAGGAGGCCGCGCTGAAAGAGGCCTAGCGGTTGTCATGGAAACGGGAGGGGCCTGTTGGGGTGTCAGACCCCCCCCAGGGACGGGGCGGTTATCTCGGTGGGGGGTCGGGGGTCTGCGATGGCTGGACGTTTGCGGGGCTCTTAGGGCGAGATGGCGGCCCTCGGACGGGTCAGCGAATGGCCTTCTGAGGCGCTGGACTCCTACCCCATCATCCCCAGCCAACCTTGTACCCCCATCCTCCCCTGCCAACCCCCCCTCATCCGCAGTTAACCTGTGCCCTCAACATATGCAGGCAGTCTTGCACCCCCATCATCTCCGGCCAACTTGGCCCCATCATCCCCAGCCAGTGTGTACTTCCACCATCCCCGACTGGCATGTGCCCCTATCATCCCCAGCCAGTATGACAAGTGGAAGCCGCTCTCCAAAACAATCTGCCTTTCAGGGGCTCATCCAACCCCGTGTGACCCTGTGGAACTCACCGCCACAAGACCCAGAGCGATTGGATGGAGCAGGAGAAATTATAAATACCTATTTGTTAAATCTGTTCTTTAGACCAGTTTTTTCCCAACCTCAGCAAATCCCCCAACTGGCTGGGGAATCCTGGGGAGTTTGGGGGATTCTGGCAGTTGAAGTCCATACCTATTAGCTTTGCTGAGGTTGAGAAACTCTCTTCCCCAGGACTTCCAGGATCGGACCTTTGCAACTTACTCTCTCGAAGTTTTTACCACTCCTTTCTTCCTAGCTTGCTTTTTAAGCTGATGCCCTCTGCTTTCTTCCTAGGTCTCGCTTTGCTCGGCTGGATTTTGTCTGTTGTCGACTTGATCGAGGGTGGTGGGAAGCCATGGCGAACACAAGTGGGGTGGGAGACCCTGGCCTTCTACGGATGAGCATTGCCTCCCAGTTCTTTTCGGGGGAGGAAACGGCAGAGACCGACACCATGACCACGTCAGAGAAAGTATGACTCCCAGGATGTGAAGCTTGAATGTTGCCATGATGGGATCTCAGTCTGGACCAGGGGTGCTATTCAGCAGGTTCTGACAGGTTCACAGAACCGGAAGTAACAAATTTGAATTCCACCACTGGTCTGGACCCATAAAACCAGTTGGGACTTAACGAAATTCCCATCTTTGCAATTTCTTCCCTTCTTCCTCTATAGCAGAGGTGGGCAACTATAGCCCCTTGACAACCAGTGGACTTCGACTCCCAGAATTCCTGAGTCAACTAGAATTCTGGGAGTTGAAGTCCATAGGTCGTAAAGGGACCATAACTGCCCACCCCTCCTCTGTAACTTTGATCCTTCAGTCCATTTGTTCTTTCAATCACGGAGTGTCACATTTACAAGAAAAACAAATGTTTTTTAAAAATTCAAACTCTTTTTCCATTCAATCTCTCTTACATCAGTTATTAAGTTTTATTACACCCACTAATTTCCCATACATATAATAGACTTCTCTGGATTTTCTTTTTGTTCCTGATACTGATTTTGGTTTTTTTTTTTTTTTTTAAATAACCAGGTTGTGGATTTGCTGAATCAAGCTGCCTTAATCATCAACGAGTCTAAAATCACGATCCTTAAACAAGTGAGTGAAGTAACTTTTTCCTTTTCTTGAATTTGAACCCAGGCTTTCTTCAGTTAAATGGTCCCCTCTCTGGCTGTTAGGGGAGCCGTTAGCCTAACTTCCTCCAATTTAGTTTCTATGTATTTGAATAGCCCAATGGTCTCAATTGTGGCTGTAAGTTGAGAAACTACCTCTACCATGTATTTCAGTTAACCTATTAGAGCAGTGTTTTCTCAATTTTGGCAACTTTAAGATGTGTGGACTTCAACTCCCAGAATTCCCCAGCTAGCATTCTAGGAGTTGAATTCGGCATTCTGGGAGTTGAAGTCCACACGTCTTAAAAGTTGAGAAATGATGTATTAGAGAATTAAAATCATAGGCAATTCTATACGTTAGAGCCGTTTTTGCATCCGTGAGCCAAATGAATTAATCTTCAGCAAATTATTAAGGTCTCTGGGGTCTATATCCCTCCCTTGTATTTTTCCCACAATCTTTGTACAGGAGGCTGTTTGCTCCCATCAGTATGACTTGTGGCTGCCACACAGGGATACTCAAATATGTGCCAGAAGGATTATTGTAGCTTTTCCTTCTTGCTTGCCTGTATTGTTCTTCATTTTCTTTTCTTTCCCCCTTTTCCTAGGTCCAGGAATTGATAATAAACAAGGACCCTACCTTGCTGGATAACTTCCTGGATGTGAGTTGGCTGGGAATCTTCATAGAAATCTCCTTTTCTCCACAGTATCTGCTTTGTGGTTCTTCCTACCCATAAGTGCCACCACTGGAGAGTTTTAAGAAGAGATTGTACATCAGTTTGTCTCAAATGGTTTAGGGTCTCCCACTTGGCAGAGGGTTGAACTAGAAGACCTCCAAGACCCCTTCCCACTCTGTTATGCTGTTCATTTGTGCCAACCAGTTGGGTCTGAATAATCCCTTCCAGAATAACCGAGGGGTGGGGAGATGGTGGCTGCTAGAACCAGACTCAGCTCTTAGTCTTCCTCCTTGATTGCTCCTGTCTATTACTCAAGCTCTGTTCTGGCTTGGCTCACAACGAGATGTGTTTTTTGGGGGGGACTGAAAGGCCAAACAACCATGAAAGCAAATCCCTCCCCCTTTTCTGCTTCTCTGTTGTAGGAAATCATCGCTTTCCAGGCAGATAAGTCCGTTGAGGTGCGGAAATTTGTAATTGGATTCATAGAGGAAGCCTGGTAAGTCCACGGCGTCCTTTTCATTTACTTATGTATTTTATCACATTTAGAAACTGCCCCGCTCCCTCCCAGAGGGACTGTGGGCGGGGTACAAATCAGCAATTAAAAACATAAAACGGAACCTCAAAATGTAAAGGCAAAGATAGTCAAAATTCAACATTAAAAGTTAATTAAAAGGCAGAGGGAGGACTTTCAGCCTGGCTGGCTGGGGAATTCTGGGAGTCCGCAAGTCTGAAAAGCTACCAGGTTTGGAGACCCCTGCTTTAGCCATTTTTGAAAGGCCAGGAGAATTTGACATTTTGATCCTTGTGCTTCCGAGGTAGCGACAGGCCATTTAACCTGGTTCCTGAAGTGCTTCCTTTTATTTCTGTGGCAGCCGTATTTGTAGACTTCTGGTTTGTCCTCTTTTGATTCATTCCCGTTTTTGCATTTGTTCTTTTCAGCAAACGGGACACGGAGCTGTTGCTCAAGCTCATTGCCAACCTGAACATGCTGCTGAGGGATGAGAATGTCAACGTAGTGAAGAAGGCCATCCTGGCCATGACCCAGCTATATAAGGTGGCCTTGCAGGTGAGTTAAGCTAGAGCCTCACTTGACCCTTCCTTCCAATTTGACTGGGAGTTTTCCCGACATCTTCCTCACTTCTTGAAATGAAAAGTGGAACCTGAGATTTGCACCTTCCTAGAAGAAAGGGATGGACCCAAGTGAACAGGACACAAAAACCCTGAGTGGGAAATGGGTGGCAGTCATGAGGGCACAGGATTGTAGCGAGCATCCTTTCTCTACCTGTGCCCCCATTGGTCTGGCTAGCGTGCAGAGCTGCTTACGGACTTCCTTCCTTTGTTTTGCTGCCCAGTGGATGGTGAAGTCCAGGGTGATCAACGAGATGCAGGAAGCCTGCTGGGAGATGGTCTCGGCCATGTCCAACGAAATCATCCAGCTGCTGGATTCCGACAATGACGGGATCCGCACTCATGCCATTAAGTTTGTGGAGGGGCTGATCATCACCCTCTCGCCCCGTATGCCGGAATCGGAGGTGCCCAAGCGACACGAGAACGACATCAGCCTCGACCGGGTTCCCACGGACCACACGTACATCAAATACAGTAAGGAGCTCTGGGGCACAGCGGTTAAAGTACAGCATTGCAGGCTAACTCTGCCCACAGCCTGGAGTTCGATCCTGACAGGGCTCAAAGCCTTCCATCCTTCTGAGGTTGGTAAAACAAGGACCCAGATTGTTGGAGGCAATCTGGTGACGTTGTAAACTTCCCAGAGAGTGGCGTAAAGCACTACGGAGCGGCATAGAAGTCTTTTAAGTACTATTGCTAAACGCTATTGCTAAGAGAGGCAGAGGGGGGCGCTCAAGAGTTGTAGACATATTTCCTGCTTGCTCTAAAGCTAAATGCCTGGTGGATCAGGCAGGAAGGAAACTTGAGAGCCAGACATTAGGTCCCATCTTCCCAGCCAGACTCCTGGCAGATGGGAATGCTAGTCCCAACCATATTACAAGGGCTATCAATCCCCAGCCCTGCTCTAAAGGGACCCGTTGTTATCAAATCTCCAAAACAGCCCTTAGGAAAAGCTGACCCTACTTGAATCTTCTTTCTTATCCTAGATCATCCTACAGATGCAGTAAGATGTGGTCTTGTTAGTTAAGGCATTGGACTAGGGCAGAGCTGGGCATTTTATGGTCCGTGGGGCACATCCGTCCCTTTGACTGTCCTTACCCGGTCTGCAGTGGCGGGCAGGCAGTGGTGGTGACTCTCCATAGCAATCCCAGTTTGTCATGGGACCTCTTGGGAAAATTAATTGCCCATCTCTGGAAAGGGCAATTTTCAACCCTGACAATTTTTAAGATAATGTGGGAATTCCGAAAGTTGAAGTCCACCCGTCTTAAAAAGTGCCGAAGTTGAGACACAATGAACTACGCGAAGCCAGATTGGAAGATTTT